ATAGATTTGTGCCTGACCGGTGGTAGGGACTCCAGTGGTTGCAGAAACCAATTTTCTGGATTCCGTCTGGATGTGTTCCCTTTCTTCCATGGTGAATAACACCTGCATCAACTACTGACAGTCATCCCAAGTGGGCTGGTGGATAAACAAGACAGTTTCTAATAAACTAATGGGGTCTTTGGGGTTCTCAGTGAAGGGAGAATGCTGAGACCTCCAATTATAAAGATCACTAATGGGGAAGGGCCAATTTTCTGGTATGTCAATTGGTGGTATAGGAACCCATTACTTATGCCAGGGAGCCCCTTTTGACTTAGAATTTCAGCCTGTTAGGTAGGATAATGGCTGACGAATTTCTCTTCTGTAACTTTCTTCAGGTTGACATTAGGACAAAGATATTGGGGGTCCAGGAAGGATGAAAGGCTAGTCAAAAGCTAGGCAATGGGGCACTTATCAAAACCATCTAACTAGTGATCCACTTGAAGACACAAGTAGCCATCACATCGCTGGACCTGTTTACTCCAGCTTTCAGCAACTCCAGATCTCAGCTTGTAACCCATAGCTGATCTCTGAATGGAGTTTGTTAGGCAGGTGAAAATCTGCTGAGACAAATTTAGGCTAGAGACAGAAGTTAAATTTTGTATCGTAATTAGAGAAAGTGAGGAATCCCAAGACCAAGGGAAAACCCCATTTCAAAATCATCTGGGCTCCGTTTGAGCAGTGGCAGATCCAGGTATCATGATCTTTTGATTTCCTGAAGCTCTTGTGAATTTTAGTTTACAAAAAGAAGTATTTTAGTATCACCATTGTATTGAGATCCATACTTTACAAAAAGCAGGTAACAGGTGTCTGAAAGACAGCAGGAGTAGATGAATGCCATTAAGATATACTAAGAGCTATAGCTTTGGGTCAGAGATATACACATTAGACAGAGATATTTTTAGCATGAATAGAAGCACCTTAAAGTCTATTCCAGAAGATAATCAAAGGGAAATTAAAATCTCGAGCTTGTGACTGAATAGTAAGCAGCCAAGGCTTCATCAGCTTATCAGAACTCTATTGATCAATGTTGTAACTCTGAAACTTTGAAATCTTGTAACAATAGCATAGAGGGGGGAGAGAAATCTGAAATATTTTTCATTTTTGATATACCTTAAATTATTTTCTTATAACATTACAATTTGCATTCGCATACCTTAAAACACCTTCTTAGACCAATAAACACTTTTTTAGATCCTCATAACTTAAATTTTCATATCTTCAGACCTTACATAAACTTTACATCTTTCTATTCAGTTATTCACCATAAGACACAGACATTTAACATGAAGTCTGTGAACAAGGCAAACCTGTTTGCCTTTTTAAATAAGAGATCTAATACCTAGTAGTTCTAACTAGCTAATCAATTGACTAATGAACTAACAGTGGTTGTAATTGCTCTTTAACTGCAAAGCTACCATTAGCTTAGCTTAGCCATCAATGTGATCAGAGACCTGAGAAGGATAAATTATAAGGTAAATGAATCTATGTATCAATCAAAATGAGAAATTACTAGTCAGTCCACCACTTAGACAGTTGTCCCTTGCTCCTGTGGTTTCATCGAACCACATGCATAGGCAGTCTGGCCATCAAGCACAGAGGGTAAGAGACTGTTTCTGTGGAAAAAGCACATGAGAGACTGATCTCACCTCTCCTTCAGCAACACGAAGCAATGACTCTCCAGGTGTCCACAATTTTGTCCACAGTTTAGGCTGGGCTATAGTGGTGGGCCAGTTGGGCCAGTCTTGCCCAGTGGTTACCATACCACAATTCAGAGTTGAAGTCCTCTGTTGTTGTGCCCAAATCTTCTTGGAGACTTTGGGGAGCTACTGTGAGGATTTTGGGACTCTCTGTCTGTCACAATAAGCCTACACGAGTTAAAATGATATATTCCACAGATCCCTGACAAGCTTTGAGGGTCAGCATATGAGTTACTCTTTGTCTATCTTTAGTTACCGTCTCTAAACTGCATTCTGTAAAACGGAATGTAATAATCTATTCTGGCATATTCTGTACTTAAGTGTTTTAGGGCTGTATCTATTTCAAGTAGATCTACATAGGCAAACTTTGTAGTTACCTATCCTAGGCTTAACTTTGAAAACATAAACAAGAGACTAGGTAAAGCTCAATCGTGTAACCAGCTGCAGTCATTAGCATAATTTTAATTATTTCTGAACTAAAATTGAAGCAAAACTTTCAATCATAGATACAGTTCATAGAGGAGCTGGCAAATCTTGCCGATCCTATCATATTGCATTATTAAGACTGAACAGCAAAAGTTTAAAGGACAAAAGTTGCACTTAGTGTTAAACAAAGAACTGAATATAGTTGGCAGTCCTCAACAAAGATGGCAGTGTACCATGACTCTCCCACAACCAAGATGGTTGCCAGTCATGTGACTGCCCTTAATTGAGGTGGCAGTAAAACCATGGCTCCACTTTCTTTATCCCTGAACCAACACTTCAAATCTTAATAGATCTTCACAAACTGGGATTGAATCACACAGGATACCTCAAAAATACAACCCTGAATTGTATACATATATAATCCATAAAGACATTATTATAAAATAACCGATAAACTAAAATGTTTCATAGCCTTGAAACACATTTTTAAAAAGAAATCTGTTCTTGCAATATCAAAATAAAGTACCGTTTTTTTAGGAGTGAAGTCATAAAGCATAACCATAATTTTAAAAGTCAAAACCAAATTTTATCAGTGTAAACAATTCAGTCTCTAAAATCAATATCAACTTAAAATGAGACTTGTCTTCTTAGTCTAAAAGGCGATAGGATGATAAACAGTATTCATTATACCTAAGAGGTTCTGTAACTTTTTTTTGCCCTATGTCATACCACATGGCAATTACAAGATAATGGAGTCACATCACATGGTAGGCCGCATGGTCGCTATTTAAAAACATCTGTGTTTATATATGTGTTACAAACATACATGCATACCTATATATGTTCTAAACAAGAGTTTGAATTTAAAAAAATATTTATCTATCTATCTATCTATCTATCTATCTATCTATCTATCTATCTATCTATTTATTTATTTATTCTTCTGTCCTGCATGACACAAGAGGGTACCAGATCTCTCTGTAGATGGTTGTGAGTCACCATGTGGTTGCGGGGTGGGGGTGGGGGTGGGAATTGAACTTAGGACCTCTGGAAGTGCTCTTAATCTCGGAGCCATCTCTCCAGCCCAAGAGTTTGAATTTAACATTTAAACATACCCAATAACTGTAAATCTATAACCAACAGAGCATATTAATCACTTAAGATCAGTCAGAAATAAACATGTAATGGCCATAAATACACTTAAAGAGACAAAACTTTTTTTTACTTCCTCCAGCTGTAATTTCAAGCACTTTGTTACCTGCAGAGGCAGGCAGATCTCTCTGAGTTTGAGGCCAGCCTGGTCTACAAAGGGAGTGCAGGACAGCCAAGGCTACACAGAGAATCCCTGTCTCAAAAACAAAAACAAACAAACAAAAAGCAAAAAAAAAAAAAAATTGTACCCTGGGCTGCTGATTTAACCGCAGCATAATAGACTGATGTTATCAGAATGTATGCTTTCTAAGAGAATTGGACAACAATGTTCTTAAATCAAAGCTTAACCCTATTCAGATAAACCATCTTTAGTTTGCTTGAGATTTCAAAAGAGGGGGGGGTTGATGGGAGTACAATATATACTGTAAGTATTTAGGCAGCCTACTTCTGGGTTGCCTAGCAACATGTCATCATGTGTCACCCACCAGGTAGTTGCACCTGGCAAGAGTGGTTCAAAATTGCTCTATAAAAGGACCAACCTGCTACTTTGTTACTCTCTTATTCTCTTACTCTCTTGCTCTTCCCTCTTTCTGTTGGGGTGTTCCCTCCCCTCTACAATGTCTCTCTCTATTTTTCTCTCTTGCTCTCTCTCTCTTCTTCCCTCCCTCCCTCCATCTCTATCCAATAAGCCTTATTGGACTTAAGATTGGTTGTGTTCGAGGCATCATTTTAAAATAAATATTCACATTTAGTGTGCTTTGGGCCCAGGACCAACAGCTCCAGGTTCTCCCAGCATTCCTCAGTCCCTATCTGCTGCTGGGCATGGTTGTCAACTAGACCCTCTACCCTGAACTTTTCAGGGCAAGGACTTCCTCTCTTCCCCACCATGTCTGGACATTTTGGAGCTCTTTTTCTCTCTCTCTTATCCCCTTGCATGGTGACCAAGAGCTGTTTCCAATGTACCTACATTTTATATACTTTAAGTTGCCTTACATGAGAAGCAGACCAAGCTCCTCACTTTTTTAAAAGATTTTATTTCTTTATTTTTGAATGCTCTATGTGCATATACACACCTGCATGCCAGAATTTTAGTATTTAGGCAGCCTGCTTCTGGTTTGCCCAGCAACATATGATGTCATCATGTGTCACCTGCCAAGTGGTTTAGTTGCTTCATAAAAGGACCAACCTGCTACTTTGTCTCTCTCTTGCCTTCTTGCTCTTGTGCTCTCTTCCTCTTTCCTTTTCTCAGAGCACCCCTTCCCCCACTATGTTTTTCTCTTTCTTTTTCTCCCTCCTTCCCGCTCTCTCTCTCCATCTCCTTCCAATAAACCTCATTGGATTTAAGATCGGTTGTGTGCATGGCATTTTTATGTAAATACTAACACACACAGATTCATATGCGCACACCATACAGGTAAAAGTAATCCCCCACAAAATACATGGAGAATTGGTGATTTTGTTCATACAGCTACTCAATGTACTATATACTGCATTTGTAGTAACTTTCTTTCAGGCAGCCTGTGCAGTTTAGATTTCAGAAACATAACTAGGAACTGGATGAGAGCCTGTCCCTAGTTTCCTGGCCGGCTTCTATATACTGATACACACATCTCTTCCTGTTGGCTGCAAGGAGCCTGGGTCGTGGGGAAGTGGTTTACCGACGTACCCGGAACTGTTCCCAAGGTTTTTTTTTTCTTTTCTGTTAAACCCTGCAAGCTCTCGGACCCTAGGCGTCTGAGACATTTGGTGGTGGTGGTGGGGGGGGGAGGGGGGTGTCGCCAGAGCGCCCCCCCTTGTCAGGCCCCTTGGTGAGTTCAGCATCCAACACCATGGCTCCTGTGTTGGGCTCTCGTAGCCCTGAACGGGAGGCCTCCGGAGGAAAAGGTCGCAGTTCATCGAGGAGCCCTAAGCCCAGGAAATCATCCCGCTCCCCGCGGGGTCCCCGGTCTCGTTCGCACTCTTGTTCTCGGCTTGGTGACAAGAATGGCTTCAGCCATTCGCTGAGTGGCTTCAGCCAAAGCTCTCGAAACCAATCTTACCGCCCCCGCTCTCGATCTCGTTCTCGGGAGCGGCCCTCTGCACAGCGGAGTGCCCCTTTTCCTTCGGCATCTTCGTCCGCCTATTATGGTGGTTACTCGCGTCCCTACGGGGGTGACAAGCCATGGCCTAGCCTGCTGGACAAGGAGAGGGAGGAGAGTCTGCGGCAGAAGTGAGTGAGATCGCTGCACCCTCTCTTGGACCAGTCCGCCTGCCTTTGAGTCGTCTGGCTTGTCGTTCAGTGTTTCTGTTTGTATTTTGCTTCCCGCCTGCCTTGCATCTTTTCCGTTCCTCTTTCTACTCCAACCCACGACCTTTTTATTTATCCTTTTCTAACTTACAATTTCATTCATCCCCAGACTCCTTCATAAAGTGCCCTGGTTTCCTAGCCGATATCGCTAAGAGGCGCTATTGTATTTTCTTGGTTGTGCCATTTTCCGTGTGCCTGTCTTTATTCCTCACTAAACTGAACTTTTGGAAAGTAGAGGACCTATTTTATTGATCACAGAATTAGCAGGTCCATCTCTTAGTTGGCATGCAACCGTTGCTTGTTGCATGAAGAAACAGACAAGTTTGAAATAAGATAGATAATTAGAAAAGTTTTGCAGGGAATTGGGAAGGATTGTAAGTAAGGATCTGTATTGGATATGAAGAAACAAGATGATTGTAAGAAAAGTGCTCTCAAGCTGTAAGTGGTGCTAGGTTAGAAAAAGTCTTGTAAAGTGGTCGCAGCCTTGTTGACCATGAAACACAATTCAGGAATGAGATCATATCTCCTTTAATGAGAGTTCTTAGTTTAAAAAGACCCACAGACCTTTATCCAAAACAGCTGTGAGGCTGAGGGAAGTCAGAACAGTGTCGTTCGTACTCACCTACATATCAAGTTTAAGGTCAGCCTGGTCTGTATGAGACTGTCTCAAAACAAACAAACAAACAAATAAATAAAAATAACCTTAAATTAGAAAAGCTGGGCATGTTGGCTCACTCCTGTGATCCTAGCATTCAGAAAGCTGAGGTAGGATTGTCACAGTTGGAGGTCAGCCTGGACTACAGAGTAAATTCAGAGTTCGCCTGCGATAGAGACCCTGAGAGTCTTATATTGCTGCATTACTCATCGTGTCTAATATGTATGAAGTTTATGTTTGTTAAACATTATGTCTTAGGTACTGTAGTTGGCCTTGTACCACGTGTTTAAAAAGGGTAAAATTTCAAGTATTGAGGGGCAAGTTAATTTTCCAACAGTTGATAAGTGTTTTTGTGTTTTTTTCTCTTCCAGCAGCAGAGGAAATAAATTATAGTAATAAAAAGGGCAGGCTTCAGAATCACACTGTCTGAGTTTGAAGGCTTTGTTTACCATGGAGCAGAGTAGTCTTGGGCAAGTCAGACCTCTCTGAGCCTCACTTCTTCATCACTAAAAATGAGGAGAAGCTGGAGTTGTAACTCAGTGGAAGAGTGCTTGTCTAGCGAACCTGAGGCCCCGAGTTGGATCAGCAAGCCCAGAAAGAGGAGAGGGCAATTAGTAACAAAGCTTTTAAGGTTGAAATAACTTCCACAAGTGCATGGAAACAGAACGGTAAAATAGTCTTGAATTTTGGGAGACTTACTTGTCCAATTTAAATTGTTCAGCATGCTATAGCACCCACAGAAGTATGCCCCTCCAAAAGCAAATGGTGAGCCAGGATCATGTCTCTTATCTCAACACTTGAGAAAGGGTCAGAACTATGAGGACCTGGAGGCTAGGTAGACCCTGCTACATGAGATCCAGTCTCAAAAAGAGGTGTAAAGAATTTACTGGAATGTTATAAATGCTTGAAGACACTAGCATTTGTACTTTTATATGATACGGAATTTATTGTGTCTGTTAAACATCAGGTCTTAAGCACGGTACTAGGCCTTGTATGTTCTATGTGCTTTCAAATGAGAAGTTTTTACATACGATGAGCAACACTTCTGTGTTCTTTATGGCTGGGCAGGCATTCTTCCCCCAGCACTTAAAAACAGATATATCCCTTTTAAAAATTATCTGTTTTGACCAAATTAAAAAAAAAAGTCCAAATCTGCCTCTGTGTAGTTATAAATGCCCTTTTTGAATGATCGAAGAAGTTAAAAAAGAAAAGAAAATCAATTATATGTCTTTTATAATGATTTTTTAAAAAGTGTGAGTTGCAAGCTGCTAATCTTTAAGGAATTCAGGCTTATTTTTTTTATTCAAAGAATTATTTTTATTTTCTTTATTTTGGGAGGTGGGAGGTTGAGACAAGGTCTTTCTATATACCTTTGGCTGTCTACAAAGCTGGCCTCACACACAGAGATCAGTGTGCCTTTGTCTGCCGAGTACTGGCACTGAAGGCATCTACCACCACACCCGGTGTTATTTTTATTATATTCTTAATTATGTGTATGTATGTGTGTCTTGGTATGAATATGTACATGTAAGTGTAGATGCCTTGAGATGCTAGAAGCATCAGATCTCCTGGAGCTAGAATTACAGGAAACTGAGAACCAACCAATTTGGATGCTGAGAACCAAGCTCTAGTCCTCTGCAAGAACAGTATTTGCTCTTAATTACTTTCCAGCCCAGAGTTTGTTTGTATTTAAGTATATGAGTAGTAGTAAATATAAGAACAGAATTAGTTACATACATAAAACGAAAAAAGTCACCCCCCCCAAGTGTAGAGACTGTGCTCCTTCTCTAAAAAGGATCTAAAAGGAAAATTGGTAATAAACCTTATATAGCATGGGGGCAGTTTTTGTCAAATAAAATTTTTATTCCTTTCTAGAATCCTTTTTATTTTCATTACATCTTTATCTTCTTCACTAATTCCTAGGTTCCTGAAAACTGGAGGTTTTCAAGTCAAGATTTGTCTACCTTTATAAACATACATAAACAAATGGATTTGTTTTTTAAATATAAAACTTTCTGTCACAGTTTACAGTTAAATGGGCCCATTTAGTAGCTGTGCCACAAGTTCAGCAAAAGGGATGCCCTTGCCAGCCTACCCAGCTGCTGTTTCTGCCACTGCTACTGCCACTGGGGTACTCTATAGTTTGAACCAGTTGGTGATACTATCAGAACATCAAATCCCAACTAATGAGTTTATATTTAAACCAAGATGTCCTGTCCACTCCTGCCCTGAGACTGGGTTCCTTTGTGTAACCCTGGCTGTCCTGGAACTCTCTCTGTAGAGCAGGCTGGCCTTGAACTCACAGAGATAGGCCTGGCTGAGATCAAAGGCTTGTGCCACCACTGCCTGGCTTAAACCAAGTTTTTATTAATTTTTTAAGCATATAGATAAATCCAAGTGTTCCTGTAGCTCCAGCTACTTTTAAGGCGGGATCACTTGCGCTTAGGAGTTTAAGGCCAGCCTAGGCAACATGGTAAGCTATATGGGAAAAATAACACTGGAAGACTTGACTCCTGTTGAATTTTATTATATGTTTAGGAAACAGTTCATCCATTGAGTTATAATTTAAATATTTACCTCTTTTAGGAGATTAAGTGAGAGAGAGAGGATTGGAGAATTGGGAGCTCCTGAAGTTTGGGGACTTTCTCCAAAGAATCCTGAACCAGAGTAAGTGTGTTAATTTCTTTTTAAAGTTAATAGCATTTGTTTAAATACTGGTCAGCAGTCAAATTTTTTTTTAAATTATATTTGCTTACATTTCGTTTATCTGTACGTGTGTATGTGCACAGTTGGAAGTCAGAGAACAACTTGCAGGAGTCCATTCTCTTCTTTCCATCATGTGGATCCCAGGGATTAAACTCAGGTTGTTAGGCTTACCAGCAAGTGCTGTTACCTATTGAGCCATCTCACCAGCCCTACTGTCGAATTTTTAAGTGAAGAGCTTCAAGTACTTATCAGATTTTTTAAAATTTTCTTATGATTTATACTATTTTACCCCTTATATTAAAAAAAATCATGGAATATGGGTAATGATTTACAGATACTGTTAATAGACTTTAGCACATTCATTGTATGTGTGAGTGGTTGTTTTGTTTTGTTTTGTTTTTGAGACATTCTATAATCTAGAATGATCTAGATTATAGATCATTCTATAATCTAGGCTATCTGGAACTCACTGTGTAACAATCAAGGTAGGATTCAAACTCTTTCTGCCTTAACCCACTGAATACTGGAATTACTGGTATATATTACCATGCTTAGCCTAATTGCTGTCTTTATAACTCAAAAAGCAATAATTTCATATTCAGATTCATTATTAAAAGTAATATAAACATATGTTTATGTTTATATTTTAATAATATGTTTATATTTGATAATATGTTTATATTATTTTTCCTTTTTTTTTCAACTAACTCATTATCAGACTGCTAGGTATTAGCATAGCAAAAGAGTTTTACTTTTTTGGTTTTTTTTGTTTGGTTGGTTGGTTTTTGGTTTTTCGAGATAGGGTTTCTCTGTATAGCCCATACTGTCCTGGACTCGCTTTGTATACCAGGCTGGCCTTGAATACACAGAGATCCGCCTGCCTCTGCCTCTCAACTGCTGGGATCAAAGGCGTGCATCACCACCACCTGGCAAGTTTTATTTTTTAAAGTGATAAAAATAGAGACAATTTACTAAGAAAGAAGATATGCCTGAGGGTAGAAAGGGGCTATTCAGATGGGAAAAGTGACATTCAGAACCCTAAAAGAATAAATGTGTGTGAGTGATTGTATATGTGGGGCCAGAATTTGAAGTCAGATATTTTCTGTGATCTCTACTTAATATTTTAAAAATGTTTTTCTTTTTATTTATTTTTGTTTGTCTTCTTTTGTTTTTTATTATTTTTAATATTAATTACAATTTATTCATTCTGTATCCCAGTTGTAGCCTCCTACTTCATTCTCTCCCAATCCCACCTTCCCTCCCTCATCTCCTCCCTGCCCCTCCCCAAGTCCACTGATAGGGGAGGTCATCCTCCCCTTCCATCTGACCCTAGCTTATCAAGTCTCATCAGGACTGGCTGGCTGCATTGTCCTCCTCTGTGGCCTAGCAAGGTTGCTCCCCCCTCAGGGGGAGGTGATCAAAGAGCAGGCCACTGAGTTCATGTCAGAGACGGTCCCTGTTCCCATTACTATGGAACCCACTAGGAGACTGAGCTGCTATGGGCTACATCTCTGCAGGGGTTCTAGGTTATCTCCATGCATAGTCCTTGGTTGGAGTATGAGTCTCAGAAAAGACCCCTGGGCCCAGATACTTAATTTTTTTAATTTAAATTTATTTTTTAATTTATTCACTTTACATTTCTACCTTATTTTTAATTTACATTTATTTATTTTCAGTTTGTGTGTATGTGTGTATGCATGCATGTAAGATGGCGTACCACAAGAGGACAACTTTCAGGGTTAGTTTTCTTTTTCCACCATTTGAGTTCCAAGAGATATAATTCATGTTGTTAGGATTGGCATCAAGTGCCCTTACCTGATACAGCATCTTGCCAGTGTAGCACCTTAGTTTCTGAAACAGAGTTTTTTAAAATGAACCTGGTGCTGATCCGATGATCTGGATTGGTTAACCAGAAAAGCCCTAAGGATCCTTCTATCTCTGCCTCCCCAGTGCTGGAATTACAGGTAAGTACAACCCTGTCCATTGTTTTTGTGGGTACTGAGGATCTGAACTCAGGTCCTCGTGCTTATGTGACAAATATTAAGTCAACTGAGCTACCTCCCTGGACCCTAATTTGAGAAAAAGAAACAAAAAAGGTTCATAGAGACAAAATATTATTCATTGCCCATAATCCCCTCCCTATGTATTCCTTTTGTACCCCTAAACAGTTTAATTTCTTCTTCATTTTATATATACATATGTGATTTTATGTGGCTATATGCAATCTGGGAACCACAAATGAGATAAAACATGAAATTTGTATTTCTGAGACTCGCCTAATTTGTTCAGTATGATTATTTCCTATTCCATTCATTTTTCCTGCACATGATATAATTCCATTCTTCCTTTGGCTGAAAATATTTCCACTGTGTACACATCCTACATTTTTAAATCTATTCCTCTGTTGTTGGATACCTAGTTTGATTGCATAGCCGAGCTACTGTGAATAGTACTGTAGTTTCCATTGCTGTTTGAGTGTCTCTGTGTTGTGATGACTTGCAGTCCTTCAGGCAGATGCCCACGAGTGGTACAGCTAGATTCTGTGGGGATCTATTTTTTTTTTTGTTTTTGTTTTTGAGAAAGCTCATATTGGAGTATATAAGGGTTTTCTGTTCTCTGCATCCTCAACAGCATTTGTTCATAGTTGCTTTCTTAATGACTGTCATTCTGACTGTGGGGTAAGATGGACTCTCACTGTAGTTTTCATTTGCATTTCCCTGATGGATAGTGAGACTGACCATTTTTTTTCATGTTTATTGTCCATGTGTTTTATCTTTTAAGAACTGTTGGTTCATTTCTTTAGCCCATTTATTAATTGTGTTGATTTTTGTTTGTTTGTTTTTTTTGTTTGTTTGTGTGCTCCTTGTATATTCTTGGTATTCTCTTCTGCCAGATGTAATATGTAGCAACATTTTCTCCCATTCTATAAACTGTCTCTTTACTCAAATGTTTTCTTTTGCTGTATAAGGGGTTCTAATTTTACAAGGTCTCAGTCATTGAACTGGGGTCAGATTTAGTGAATAACTGGCATCCAAGTTAGACAGTTCTTACCTATGCCAATATTTTCTAAAAAAATACTTTTTTATTTAATAAGGGTTTTGCCTACATTATGTATAAGTGTACTGCATGAATGTCCAGGGCCTACAAAGGTCAGAAGAGAGCATTAGATTCTCTGAAACTGGAGTTACAGATGGTTATGAGCTGCCATATGGGTGCTGGGAACTGAACCCAGGTCTTTTGCAAGAGCAGCTAATATGTTTAACCACTAAGCTGCCTCTTTTCCTGTTTGTTTATTTCCTTCTTATATTTTCAGAGTTTCAAGTTTACATTATGGTCACTAAGTGTTTTTTCCATTAATATACTAACATTTAAAAAAATGTTTCCTGCTGGGCAGTGATGGTGCACACCTTTAATCCTGGTGCTTGAGAGGCAGAGGTAGGCAGATGTCTGTGAGTTAGAAGCCAGCCTGGTATATAGAACGTATCCCAGGACAGCCAAGGCTACACAGAACCCTGCCTTTAAAAAAAAAGTTTCCTATATCTAATACTCTGAAGGTCTAGTGCTTTTTTTTACTCCATATTTATTTATTTTAAAATATTTTATTGATTTTTTTCATGTATATGAGTGCTCTATCTGCATGTACACCTGCATACCAAAAGAGGGCATCAGATCCCAGTATAGATGGTTGTGAGCCACCATGTGGTTGCTGGGAATTGAACTCAGGATCTCTGGAAGAGCAAACAGTGTTTTTAACTGCTGAGCCAGCTCTCCAGCCTCTTACTCCATACTTACTTACTTACTTACTTTTTAAACGTTTTTAACATTTTATAGTGAGAGGGACATGTGTGTGCCATAGCACAAAGGTGGGAGATGCTTTCTCCCTCCACAGTTGGATCCAAAGGATCAAACTTAGGTCATCAGGCTTGACATTTAACTTGCTGGCTGCTATATTTATTAATTTATTTTATTTTATTTTACTTTTTTTGCTGCAACTCAGACGTTTTTTTCTTCCTGTTCTTGATCTTCCCCCACCCCACCCCTGGGAAAGAAGGTGTCTCTGTGTAACCTTGACCATCTTAGAACTCACTCTGTAGACCAGGCTGTCCTCAAACTCAGAGGTACACCTGTGGGGATTAAAGACATATACTACCATGCCCAGCTCCACTCTTGGATTTTTAAGATGTGTTGAGACATTGTGCTTAACAAGAAATCTATAATTTGTGTCAGAGTGATAAAGCAATAAAATCTGAAACTTGTTCTTATAGATAAATACTTGAACTCATCAAATGAGAGTTTAAAAAAAAAAACCCAAAAATATGGGAGATAATATCTAAGTTATTCCATGAGTGAAATTCAAAACTTCAAAGAAAAAAATGTGACACAATATATACAGCTAGAGCTTTTTAACTTTTTCAAGTCTGTCCCAAAGAATTTAATAATTTTTAAAAATATTTATTTACTATTTTCACAAGGTCTCATTCTGTGGCCCTGGCTGGCCTGAAGCATGTGTAGATTAGGCTGGACTCATTCACAGACATCCACCTGCATCTGCCTCCTGAGTGCTGCGATTAAAGGTGTGCATCGCCCTGTCTGGCTACTTCTATTTGTTTTGTTTTGTTTTTGTTTTATTTGAGACAGGGTTTCTTTTTTATTTTTTATTAATTTTTTATATTAATTACAGTTTATTTATTTTGTATCACAGCTGTAGCCCCCTCCCTCATTTCTTCCCAATCCCACCCTCCTTCCCTCATCTCCTCCCATGCCCCTTTCCAAGTCCACTCATAGGGGAGGACCTCCTCCCCTTCTATCTGACCCTAGCCTATCAGGTCTCATCAGGACTGGCCACAATGTCCTTCTCTAGCATGGCTGCTCCCCCCTCAGGGGGAGGTGATCAAAGAGCCAGCCACTGAGTTCATGTCAGAGACAGTCCCCGTTGCCCTTACTAGGGAACCCACTTGGATACTCAGCTGCCATGGACTACATCTGAGTAGGGGTTCTCAGTTATATCCATGAATAGTCCTTGGTTGGAGTATCAGTCTCAGAAAAGACCGAGATAGGGTTTCTTTGTGTAGCTTTGGTTGTCCTGGACTCAATTTGTAGACCAGGCTGGCCTTGAACTCACAGAGATCCTCCTGCCTCGGCCTGCCAGAGGGCTGGGATTGCAGGTGTGTGCCACCATGCCTGGCTTATTTTTAGTATTTTAATTATGTGTTTTGTATTGGTTTCCATGGGTATGCACATCTAGGTGTTCATGCCTCTTGAGGCCAGGGACATCAGGTTTTCTTGGAGCTAGAGTTATAGGTGATTGTGAATCACCCAGGATGGATGCTAGGAGTCAAACTCAGGTCCTGTACAGGTAAGAGCTGGTAAAGTGCTTGTCTAGAATAAGTTTTGATCACTAGAATCAAGAAAACCAGTCATGATAGTATATAATTTATAATCCCAGAATTGAAGAGGTAGAGGCAGGAAGATTAAAAATGAAAGGTCATCCTTATCCACATAGAGAGTTCAACCCCAGCAGGACAATGAGATATTTCAGGAGGTAAAGGTGCTTGCTGCCATGGGACCAACATAGGGTGGAAGGAGATAACCAAATCCTGAAAATTGTTCTCTAATTGACAGTACTGTACAAACACACACACACGCGCACACACACAAATGCACACATGCATTCCCTAAACAAATTAAATATAAAAATGTTTTTAATTAATTAATTAATTAATAACTCCAAAAAAAAAAAAAAAGACTTACTTTCAGAATTTGTTTTGCAAATTCTGTAATCTGTTAGGTTCTGGGGAGATGGGAGTTGTTATGGCATAGATCATTCACCTACTTGGAATACAATTATGGAACTAGTATATAGCTTGGTTATGAGCAAGTGGCTAGCATTTTTGAGGTCTGGGTTTGATCCCATAGCCACAAAATAATAATGAAATCACTAACTCGTCTTTCCACCCTCATGTTTGTCCTTTATCTTTCCTTATGTTTTTTATTTCTCATCTTTTACCATATCAGTTTCTTCTGAAAACATTACAACACATTGCTTTTTTAATGATACTATGTAAACTCTAAAGCATTATATAAATATAAGTCATTTTAGTATGAAGGTGGTAGACTCTTGAATATATTCTTACAAAAACCGTTGCCTTTAGGGGCTAGAGTGAGGGTTCAGTTGTTAAGAACACTAGCTGTTTTTCAGGGGAATCTGGGTTTGATCCACAGTACCTACAAAAAAGCTATTCTAACTCCATTTCCAGAGGATCCAATGCCTTTTCTGGCCTCTGTGGGCACCAGGCACTGTCATACATGTAGAAAAAATTCCTATGCACATAAGATAAAATGTAATGATGATGATAGTAAAAAAATAAAGTATTTTAATATTAATAATAATAAAAATAAAATAAAAAATAATATTTTTAAATGCTCGCCTTTAAAGGTTCTTAGGCAATAAGTGCTGTTACTGAAATTTTTAAATGCATATTTTCATGCTCTATGATCCATTTCTTACAACCATTTCTTGTAAATCAGCTCTGATGAACATACACCAGTAGAGGATGAAGAACCAAAGAAAAGCACTACTTCAGCATCTAGTTCAGAAGGTAATTTTGTAAAATAAGGAACTTAATCATAAATTTAAAATTTATAAATATTTGAACATTGCTTTTACTCAAACTACCAAATAGCTGTTTCTTTTCAGTGTTTCAAACATAGTGAGATAGTTGCAAATACTTTATAAGTTAATTTGTCTTTTGTACTTACAACAGATGAAAAGAAAAAGAAAAGGAAATCTAGTCATTCCAAAGAAAGATCCAAGAAAAAGAGAAAGAAAAAGTCATCTAAAAGAAAACATAAGAAGTATTCTGAAGATAGTGACAGTGACTCTGAATCAGAAACAGACTCCAGTGGTGAGAAAGCCATATCTTCTGCAAATTCTAGAATGTAGCTTAATTGTTAAAAATTTTGAGTGTATGGGTGTATTACCTGCAAGCATGTCTTTGCACCATGTATATTCTTGCTGCCTGATGGAGATCAGAAGAGGGTTTAGCTCTCCTGGAATTGAATTTAGAGACAGTTGTGAGCCAACACGTGGTTGCTGGGAGTCAAATCAGGTCCTTTGGAAGAACAGCCTGTGCTCTTTACTGCTGAGCCATCTCTCTAGCTTCTCAGCTTTCTAAAAATTTGTTAAATTATAAGCATAATTATGGCCATGTTAGTTTTCTGATTATATTCCAGTTTTTATTATTTACTTAATTTTCTGTGTTTAAGTATGTGTCACATGGTACAGCAGGTCCTCTGCCTTCAGAACTAGTCGTTTCCCGTGTCCAACTTGGCTTTCAGTGCAGCAATGGACATGTGCTACTTTTATAATAAGCTGATTTCTAAAACAACTTAAGAGTCACTGCTTCAGGGCTGGAGAGATGGCTTAGACGTTAAGAGCACTGGCTGCCTTTCCAAAGGTCCTGAGTTCAATTCCCAGCAACCATATGGTGGCTCATAACTCATCTATAGTGAGATCTTTTGCCCTTTGCCACTGTATAAATAATAAATAAATCTTAAAAAAAAGTCACTGCTTCCAGGTCAACTATTTCTCAGTTACCTTCCCAAATCAGTCATATTTTTAATTACATTTTATTCATTTATTTTGTGCATATGTGTGCATGTGTTTGGATGTGCATACCACAGTGTATACATGGAAGTCAGAAGTTAACTTGGAGGAGTTGAAGTTTCTTTCCTTCCACCATAAGGGTCCTTGGGATGGAACCGGGTCCTCAAGCCCAGCAATATGCATTCTTACCTATTGAGCTATTTTGCCAGTGTCTGGCTGGCTGGTTTTAAGACTCCTTTGGATCCTTAGAGCACCTGTCAGACCAGATTATACTCATTTCATTACTATCTCTCACCTCCATTCCACTGAGATTCTGGAAAATATTATCTTCATCTGCCACACACACAGAGAGTTGTTTCTTTTTGTTTTTGTTTTTCTCACTATGAAACTTTAACAATTTTCAGGAAAGTAAAAGGAGTAATGTTAATTGTCATTATTAACTTTTATTAACATTTTCATATATTTGCTTAAAATATGGGGGGAATTGTTGAGTTATTCAAAGTAAGTTAAGTCATCCTTCCTTGGCTGAATCTATATGTACCTCTTTGAAATGGGAATTTTTCCTACTTAACCAGTTGTCATTAACTCAATGAGTAAATGAATAGCAAGTCCATATATTATTAATCTAGTGTGACTGTAATTTCTTATACTTTTTTATTGCATGTGTTTGTGTGTGTGCAGTCATGCATGTAACAGCCAGTGTGTAGAGATCAGAAGACAGCTTATTGGAATCAGTTCTCTTCTTCCAGCCTATAGGTCTCGGGTTTGACCTCTAGTCATCAGGTTTGACATTAAGTGTTTTTTGCCCATTGAGTTATCTTGCCAGTCCATGACTTTTGTTTCTTTAGTTCCTACCCTAGTACAATTTATGGCAAGTTTCAATCAATGTTAGAATGAATTAATTTTCCTGTAACAAAAATGAATATTTATAATAACAGAGTATTTATCTGTTAAGGTAAAATAAAAATTTTAAAACAATTTTGAACTTCAAAAATTTTTCAATAATAATGTGCTTTAATTTGCAGATGAAGATACAAAAAGAAGAGCAAAGAAAGCTAAGAAAAAAGAAAAGAAGAAGAAACGGAGAGTGTCAGTTTTTCTTTAGTTTTTTAATGGAAAAGTTTAAAATGTACTCAAGATTATGTGAAATAGTATCACACACAGTTTGATCAATTACCCTTTTAATGGGTAATCTCTACCACCCTCTGATTATTTTGGAACTAATCAGAGCTATCATTTCCTTCATAAATAATTCAACAATTTAGTACCTTTCTCTGAAAGGCTTTCTTAAAAAAAAAAAAAAAAGAACTTTTATTGTGCGTAAGAATATTACAGTCAGTCTCTACAGTTTTTTTTTCCCTAATGTCCCTAAATTATAGTGGTTATACAGAGTGAATTACCATGTTTTTCTTTCTTCTCTATTTCCTAGAGAGAGAAGGGTCTTGAGGCTGGCAAGATTCAAGTTGGAATTTTGGCCAAGAATACTTTTTAGGTGGTGCTGTGTACTGCCCTCAGTAGGCAGCTAATGTCTCTTTTTGTCATTGGCAAACATGCTGGTCATTGTCTAGATCATTATGTCTTCGAGACTGCAAAACAGTGGTGGTTTACTCTGCTGCTACTCAAACATATTTGCTGTATTTTAATCCATTATACTGGAAATTTTTATTAATGCTCACATTGGTAAGAACTTGTTTTTTTTTTTGTTTTTGTTTTTCATTTTTGTGGGACTTTGTATTTAGGGTTGTTCAATTATTATTATTATTATTTTATTTTAATGTATGCATCTATGTATGTGCCATGTACATATATACCTGGAGAGGCCAGAAACAGGCATCAGATCCCCTGGAGCTGGATGTAACAGGTGGTTATAAGCCACCTGATGTGGGTACCGGGATACAAACTCTAGTCTTCCAGAAGAGCAGTAAGCACTTGTAACTGTTAACCCATTCATTTCTTTAGCCACTGTATATTTGCTTTTGAGACAGTCTCATATACCCCAGGCTTTCCTCAAGCTCACTGGATAGCATAGGATAGTTTTGGACTCCTGATTCTCCTGCCAAGTGCTAAGATTACAAGCATAAGCTACCACCTCCTGCCTGCAAGTTAAAGTTTTAAGATTTTTCATTTCTATTTTCTTTCTACATAACTGTATTTCATTGATCCTTTAGTCATTTCTTGTTAATAGTAAAATGCTATAAGGTTAACTGAGAGGACTGAATTGAAAAGTTCAAGTAAGCTGGGAATTCAGGACATTTTTATCAACCTTTTCATTCCTTTGAAAACTGAGAATGCCTGGAGCTGGAGAGATGGCTTGGCAGTTAAGTACACTGGCGGCTCTTCCAGGGTACCCAGGTTTAATTCCCAGCACACACATGGCAGCTCACAACTGTGTGTAACTCTAGTTCTAGGAGATCTGACACACTCACACAGACATACATGCAGACAAAACACCAATGCATATAAAAATAAATAAATCTTTAAAATTTTTCTTTAAAGAAGAAAACTTTTAACATGAGAATACCTAATTTGTATTAAATTATAATCCCCACAGGAAGAAATACAAGAAAAAGAAGACTAAAAAGAACAGAAAAGAGTCCAGTGATTCGAGCTCTAAAGAGTCCCAGGACGAATTTCTTGAGAATCCTTGGAAGGATCGATCAAGTAAGTTCCTGTAGTTGACTAACTCAAAACAGATGAAGCATTAACTGATTAGTTAAGATGTTAATGTCCTGAAGATACCTGATAAAACAGGATCAGATGAATGGGGAGGAGGTCCCCCCTATCAGTGGACTTGGCAAGGGGCAGGGTGGAGATGAGGGAGGGAGGGAGGGACTGGGAGGGAATGAGGGATCGGGACACGGCTGGGATACAGAGTTAATAAAATGTAACTGATAAGAAAAAAATAAAATACAAAAAAAAAGATGTTAATGTGTTTCTGAAAATGTTTCATGCAGAGACAGAAGAACCATTGGATCTCATTGGCCCAGAGGCTCCCAAAACACTTGCCTCCCAAGATGATAAGCCTTTGAAGTAAGTAGTGGTGGATGGTTATGGGGTTTGCTGGTTTTCTTTGTTGTAGGTTATTTGTCTTGTTTTCTGCTCAGCGTTCTCATGTAGGTTAGCAGGCTGCCACTGAACTGTCCCCTCAGCTAGAAGCAGTGCATTTGCAATATCTAAAGCACTTTGTCTAGCTCAGTCTGGTATTTGTACCTGTGATCCCAGCATTTGAGAGGAGGAGGCAGAGAGATTAGGAATTCTAGGTCATTCTAGGCTAAGAGACCCTGTTTCTATAAAATAAAAACAATATCTGTAACTGTTCTTCAAGCCCCTTTCCTGAAGCAGCAGCTTATGCTTCTCTGCAAGGAGTAGTGACTTCTGTCCTTCTTTAGTCCTCACAGCAGTTTCTGTTTCTTTTATGCAAGGTAAATTTTAAGTTTTTATTAGTTTATTATTTTGTATGGGAGAGGGAAAGGCATGAAGGCTAGAGGACAACTTTAAGGAATTGGTTCTCTCCTTCCACTATATGGGTACTAGGGATTAAACTCAGGCCAACAGGGTTGACAGTAAATAATTACCTTTACCCTTTGAGCCCCCTCATCTCATGAAACATATACTTAGGTTTACCTTATAGTATAGTCAATATGTAAATTTTATAAATACAGAGGTTACTATTGTGTTATAAGCTTTAGGTTTAATAGGAATACAAGAAACCATCACTGAACTGCTCCTAAAATCTCTTAATCAAAGACAAAAGATAAGTTTTATTGAATGGCATTATTGTTTATTGTAAGTTTTTTTGAGATATATCATTTATTTGGGTTTTTTAAGAGAATGAGTTGAGGGCAGAAACAATAATGGCAGTATCTGATGAATTAATCCACAATTATAAAGTGTGAATCTATACTCTGAACATCAGTTCTTTTGTTTTCCCAAAGTATACATTTCTAGGTTAGTAATACAGGTCACAGTTCTCTAATAAAAGTGAAGTAATTCACACCAGGGACATTGCTGCTTAGCACTGTTATTCTTATTACTGTCTGAGGGAAAATATTTTGTGTTGTCATTTCTATGGAGGTAGTTTAATGAATCTTATGTGAATTCTGAATTACTTTGTAGTTATGGCCATGCTCTGTTACCTGGTGAAGGTGCAGCTATGGCTGAATATGTGAAAGCTGGAAAGCGCATCCCACGAAGAGGTGAAATTGGCTTGACAAGTGAAGAGATCGCATCATTCGAATGTTCAGGTTACGTTATGAGCGGTAGCAGGTATTTTCTTGGCATTGAGTCAATTTCCATGATTCACATTTTTCCTTCTTTCTTACTACTAGGATTATATTTTGGTGTTCTGTTTCATTAAGTGACTATTTCCTAATGGAAAATAGAGTGTACAAACACACACACATACGATACTAGTTTCATTAGAAGAAACATACTTAAATAGGTTTCAATTATGTATAAAATTCAACCTCAAACTCTACAATATCTCCAAATTTAAAGAATCAATAGTTTCCAGTTTTATTTCTTCTTCATACTTTGGAACAAATGTTTTCCCTGTGCTAAATATAGTTAAGTTCAGCCATCTATCATAGAGGAATGTGGGGTTCCAGTGGTGAGGAAAACATTTTCATAAGATAATCTCTCTTTTTTGAGTTTGCCTCCAGTTCTTGGAGGACCTGAATTTCTGGAATGAATATCAGTTAAGGATCATGAAAAAATGTCACATTCAGCATGATCAAATAAAACTGGAAGAATAAGCAAATACTTGACTGATCAGGGAGAGTAAAGGCAGTGGAACTAAAATCACAATTATCAATTCCTTAAGATTACAAACTGTTAAAATACTTAGCCATTTTGAGTTGGTAACAGGGACGAATATTTGCTGATCATCTGAAGTACCTCCAGAATCTTAGCTGTCTAAAACCAGTATAACTTTGGAGCATGACACAGTATGAGAAGGACAAATCACTGGAGACATAAGGATCAGTAAGGAGGGTTCTCCGTAGCCATTTTTGTGATTAAGATGATTGTTTACAAAAAAGGTCTGAAAGACTGTTCAGAGGCTTAACAATTGCTTATATATGAAGTCATTACAAAATCAGTTGTGTTTCTATATCTCAGCAATAGGCAACTAGAAGATATAATTTAACACATTAATATATTAATATAATTAAAAATGTATAATTGTATATGTTAAATATAATTAAACAGTTATAATAGTATCAGAAAATATGAGTGATTTAGAAATAAATCTTAAAAAAAGAATCCACAGACCTCCACAGGGGAAACCATAAGACATTAAGAAACATTGAAGGGCTGTAGAGATGACTCAGTGGTTAAGAGCACTGGCTGTTCTTGGAGAGGAACCCAGGTCAAATTCCCAGCCCCCACATGGCTGTAACTCCAGACCCAGGGGATCTGAAATCCTCTCTGGCCTCTGCAGGCACTACACATATGTGATGTGCAGACATACATTCAAGCAAAACATTCATACATGTAAAAAAAAAATTAGCTGGGTGTGGTGATGTATATCTTTATTCCTAGCACTTGGGGGTGGAGGCCAGCAAGTTCCAGGATAGCCAGGGCTACATAAAGAAACCCTTTCTTGAAAAAAACAAAATGAATGAATGAATGAATGAATGAATAAATAAATAAATAAATGAAACATAAAGATCTATATCAATGGGGACATACCATGTTCTGAGTTAAGATAGCAATATTGTAATGTCAGTTCTTGAATGAATGAATGAATGAATGAATAAATAAATAAATAAATAAATAAATAAATAAATAAATAAACGAAACATAAAGATCTATATCAATGGGGACATACCATGTTCTGAGTTAGGATAGCAATATTGTAATGTCAGTTCTTAAATTTATCTACAAATTCAATAACATTTCAATCAAAATAATAGCACTTTATGAAACTTGTAAGGTTGTTTTAAAAGTATTTGTTAGAATAAAAGGCCAAGTGTAGCCATTTTAGTTCCGAGGAAGAGTAGGAAAATGAGATGTGACCTATAAGAGATGAGAATTTTAAGGGGCTTGCAGGCTTTAGGAAGCCTATGTAATAGCCTAATTATTTAGTGAAATAACATGCTGAGCCCAAAGATAGTTATACATGTATGAAATTTTGGTTTATGAAAGAGACAGCATGTCAGATCTGTGCAGAAAAAAATGTGTTCAGGAAATGGAATAGGGAAAACATGTTTTAAAAGAATGTAGAACACTGAATCACTGTATATAAAAGGCAGTGCAACTACATTAAGTACTTTCAGAGATGATGATCTTTAGGTAAAAAGATATTTTCTAATCAGAACAGAAAACTTCCTAGAAGGTTGCCTAGGCGCTAAAAGTAAGAACTTGTGTTCATCAAAAGATACATTAAAATGTGAAAATTCTAGGCTTAGGTAAGATTCATGGAATGCACACAATTTATGAAGTTTTGGTAGTGAGTATATTTAAATACCTACAAAGTAAATACGGGGAAATGATAGAAAGGGCCGTTTATCAAAAGACTACATACGTGGCATGCATAAATTAAATGGTGTTTATTGTCATTGGAAATGGAAATCAAGACCTTAGTGAAATACTCTTGTGTACCATTTAATTGCAAAAGGTTCAAAGTTCTAACAATGACAAATATTTTAAAGGATTGGTGCCACAGGACCTCTTAAACACTTCCGATTGTATATCAGTTAATATTCTACAAAAACAATGTACATCTTAGGAAGTTGGACTCTGATACTCAATATCACCAAGCAGCACTACACTAGGGTACCCTGTAACTTGTATATTTTATTTTGGTTTGTTAGGCTGCTACCTCCCTTCCAACCCCCTTACTCTTGGTAGGAGAGAAAGAAGATTTGAAGGGAAAGGAGGTAGTAGCCTAAGAAACCAACATAAAATAGAGGAAAATATGCACACTACTTGTACAAATTTTAGAATGATTATTCTATATTATATGTCTAATATCCACTTATAATTTGAGTATATACCATGTGTGTCTTTCTGCTTCTGGGATACCTCACTCAGGATGATCTTTTCTAGAGCCCACCATTTGCCTGCAAGTTTCATATTTTCCTTGTTTTTAATTGCTGAGTAGTATTTCATTTCGTAAATGTACCACAATTTCTGTATCCATTCCTCAATTGAGTTACATCTGGGTTGTTTCCAAATTCTAGCTATTATGAATAAAGCTGCTATGAACATGGCTGAGTAAATGTCCTTGTTGTATACATGAGGATCTTTTGAATATATGCCTAGGATCAAAGCAGATGCTGAGAATTATAGTCAAACTTTGGGCAGAGTGGAGACAATCTTATGAAAGAAGGGGGAGATAGACTTGAGCGAGGCAAGAGCTCCACAAGGAGAGCAACAGAAACAAGAAATCTGGGCACCGGAGTCTTTTCTGAGACTGATACTCCAACCAAAGACCATGCATGAAGATAACCTAAAACCCCTGTACAGATGTAGCCCATGGCAGCTCAGTCTTCAAGTGGGTACCCTAGTAATGGGAACAGGGGCTGTCTCTGACATGAACTCAGTGGCTGGCTCTTTGATCATCTCTCCCTAATGGGGGAGTAGCCTTACCCAGCCATAGAGGAATACAATGCACCCAGTCCTGATGTGGCCTGATAGGCTAGGGTCAGAGGGAAGGGGAGGAGGACCTCTCCTATCAGTGGATTTTGGGAGGGGCATAGGAAGAGATGAGGGAGGAAGGGTGGGATTGGGAGGGGAAAAGGGAGGGGTTACAGCTGGAATACAAAATGAATAAACTATGATTAATAAAATAAATTTTAAAAAAGAAAAAATATATATATACTACAAGTGGCGGTCAATATAAATATTTGTAGCATGTATATTTTACGCTATTTTATTGAGGTTTCTTATACTTCTACTTCCCTTCCAACCCCCCTCCCCAAACACTGGGTTTCACTGAGAGAAAGAAGGTCAGTGGGGAAAGGGGACGGATTTCTCTTAAGCTAATTCTGGCTGTTTAGGGTCATTTGGTTCTTTGCAAAAACACCAATCTCAGTCCTCAGGATATCCAGCAGTCTAGCAAAACCAGCAACTTTCTTTCTCCATCCGACTCCTTGAAGCCTTTTCCCTTGACATGTCCTTTTTTTCTTTCTCTGGGCTCTGGTACTTATACCCTCTCTGAGTCCTCAGAATTCCACTAACTGTAGCTGGCAAGGACCAGGCCCCTCTCTGATCCTCATGAGGCTGTTATTAGCTGTGGACAAACTAAAAGCAGCTCTTTATCTCACACTTGGGTTTAAAACAAAAACCTGTTGACATAACATAACTGAATTTTGAAAGAAACCAAAACTTCCATTTCATTTCTCAAGAGAAAATATTACCCATGAACTAGAGACATGCATGTGGGTGTTCATTATAGCATCATTTTGTATTGCTTTCTGTTCCATATTACTTCACAGAGCCCACGCTGTACTCGAAGTAACCTAAATATATTGCCATTTCCTCAACTCTTCCATCTTATCCCTAGATACCTTCACAGTAACCTGAAATTATTCTCTCCTGTTCTTTCCCAGTCTTTCTTACCTTTTCTAAACATAAGTTTCTTGAACTGATTATTTAGAGTTGTGTATGTATGGAAAAAAAGGTCATTAATATTTCTCTCTGAATAATAGACATTTTGAATCTAACATCATATTCCTTTGCCCCTATATTTTACTGATCTAATTCTTTTTTTTAAATCTTTTATTTTTTTTTATTAATTACACTTTATTCATTTTGTATCCCCCCATGAGCCCCTCCCTCCTCCCCTGACGATCCCACCCTCCCTCCCCTTTCTGCATGCATGCCACTCCCCAAGTCCATTGATAGGGGAGGTTCTCCTCTCCTTTCTGATCTTAGTCTATCAGTTCTCATCAAAAGTGGCTGCATTGTCCTCTACTGTGGCCTGGTAAGGCTGCTCCCCCCTCAGGGGGAAGTGATCAACGAGCAGGCCAATCAGATTATGTCAGAGGCAGTCCCTCT